GTATTTCTTAGCTAACTCATGCTGATTCTCTCTTCTTAGAATGAAACTCCCCCTTTGTCATGGCTCCATACTTTTGCATTCATTTGCAGATATGTGCTCCCAAGTTTGATCCTGAGCTCCATCTGCTAAGCTGCTGTAGGGTCTCCTGGTTGTCCTTTGAAAAGATACAAACTCTCCAGTGTACAGCTTCGTTCAGTCCATGAAATACCTGTTGCTGGATTTCCATGTGTGCTGTCTTGCGTCATCTCAGATCTTCATACTCTGAGCAACCCAGGCTGATCTTCACTGTACTAATTGTTTAAATATTCCCAAACTCATCTCTCTTCAGGAACTTCCTTTTTGTCAACCGACTAAATAATGGGTGGGGTGGACTGGGGATGGAGAGAGGAGGATGGAATGTCTTACCTTGTATTTTGCAAGGTCTAATTCAAACACAGCTCTGACAATAATACTAACTCACTTAATAGCTGGAGTGGAGCAGAGAGGAACAGTGTACACAGCTGTTTATTTTTAATCCTACCCTGGAGAACTCCTAACAAAGTCATACAACCCCCAACTCTGAAGAGAAACAAAATACATACTTTCCCTCTACCAACCAAACTTAAATCAGGCTACTTGAGCTTCTCGGCTTTAGCTGACTTGCATTAAGATTCCATGGAAAAATATATTTTTCTGAAAGGTTTGGGGGAGGTAATGAAAGAGGCTGTATATGCAAAGTAGTTCTGCTTCTCCATGTCTAAGTTTTCACTTATCCTGTATCCAGAGTCACTGTTCCTCGTTAAATTCGCATTTTCTTTTCTCTGCTGAGGCATCTCTCATTTGTCTACCGAGCTCTTCCAATGAAGGAAGACCAACATTTTAGGCTTTGATTCTTTGCTATCACAATTTCCAGCTCTTAATCAAGATGCATGATAGCAACATTACAGATTATGATCATATCCAGGTGTGAATACAACATAGCATATGCGGAAGTTCAGGCACGTTGCCACCTCTTTTCCTCACGTAGAATTCAGGGGAATGTTTTCATTGTACCTCCTATGTGTTCAGTGTAGAACACATCAGTCATGAACTACGAACAACAACTGCTGAGTTGTGTCATGAAGACTGCCAGGACCAGCCGCACAGCCGTGCTTCAGGGAGGGTGACTATCACGACCCAGTCAATCCCTACAGAAGGAATGCACCTGTATCATGCTGAATTTTCACACACAGCCTTCCTGGGATTTATCTCAGTTCATCCCAATCTTAACATGAAGGATGTGCTCTTCAGTGGTCTGCCTACCTGTAAGTGTTTCCATGAAAGCCCATCCAACGATGTCTGCACTAAATAATAGTGACTTTCAAATAAAGCTTAAAGGCCGTTCAATTACACTCAGAGCGATTGCACAGGAAAAGCTCACACAGTTAATAAGCAGTGTGTTCTACCCATCAGTCACCGGTTTGACAACATGACTGTGATAGGGGATGATGCCATTCACAGAGATGGGGAAATTGCTGCAGAGATCAACAATGCGATGCAACAGAAATCTCAACACAGGCTTCCAAGATGCTCCTGTATCTGGCCCTGCACTATTTGTCTATGCTTTTCTACTCTTAACAAAAACAAGGGTATTTCCTAACTGACAAGCCCAAGAAAACATATCCAGGCAGTAAACAAAATCCTTTTTTGTGTGTGTGGGATAGGACTAATCCAAAAAAGCCATTTGAGTCAGCATATACAGCAAACAATCAGAATGACTTTATTTGATTGTATGTATCACTTCCATAAGATGAATTAGACGTGTGTTTATTGTCTATGGGTCACTCTGGTCCTTTCACTGTGAAGGGAGATGGCTAGGGCCACACGCTGCCCTGCACTGTAGTTGACAAAGACAGAAAAGAGAAAGGAGGTAGCAAAGATTCATCTCCTTCTTATCAACTTGTCCCTACACTGACTTGTCCTTTTTGTTCCTCCTCCTCCTCCACACCTGAAGACTGTCATGTTGTCCTATTCAAATGACAAGGAGGTACTAGAGCAATTAAGGTGGCATGGTGCAAGCAAGCCTATTCTGGTAGTTCACACACAAACACCACCAAGCAAGCACCCATCTTGGGCCACATGTTTGCTGTCTTGAGGCACTGAAGCAGACTCTTGGAAAAAGAATCCAAAGCCTCTCCAGTTACTCAACAGTGTTAGCTCCAGGAGACGGGAACAGAGTCCAGGTGGAAAGCCGACCGGCCTCTTAGGGTCTGCTTTCTAGGGTGCAAAAGTGATTGGGACAGTTGAAGAGCCTGACTTCCAAGGATCACCCTTCCCACTCCGTTGTATTCAGGAAATCATATAGGAGACAGGAACAAACTGGTGCTAGTCTTCTGCTTCAGTGTGTTCCCTGTGCCCGCTAAGAAGTGTGTGCTACTCTGCCCGTAATGCTTATACCAAGGACTGCAGACGAGGTGGCTTATGCATCACACAGTATGGAAGCTGCAAGGTTTAAGACCACAGCGCCAGCAGATTGAACGGGATGAGGGCCGATTTCCCAGTGCACAGGCACCTCTGTGCCGGGTCCTCTTAGGCAGTCTCCCTCTCTAGGTTCTCTTGAGTCCTTTGATTGCAGTAATAAGGCTTAGCCCCCAGGACTTCCATCTGCTAACACAAGCACATAACAGACCTTAGGTACGGAGTTCAAATTCTAACACCCAAGCTTCATGATACACAAGCGTGTAGACCACACCAGACCCAAAATAAACTATTTCAGACACAATGACGGTGGCTTTCAAGACCCCAACCACCCTTTGTAGAAGGCTCAGCACTAGTGACAGTCAACAGCAACATGAGCCAATCTTGCCCTCTTCTCAGTCGTAATCATCTTTTTTTTTGACAGGCAGAGTGGACAGTGAGAGAGAGAGAGAGAGAGAGAGAGAGAAAGGTCTTCCTTTTTACCGTTGGTTCACCCTCCAATGGCTGCCGCGGCCGGCACACCACGCTGATCCGAAGGCAGGAGCCAGGTGCTTATCCTGGTCTCCCATGGGGTGTAGGGCCCAAGCACTTGGGCCATCCTCCACTGCACTCCCTGGCCACAGCAGAGAGCTGGCCTGGAAGAGGGGCAACCGGGACAGAATCCGGCGCCCCGACCGGGACTAGAAACTGGTGTGCTGGCGCCGCAAGGCATAGGATTAGCCTATTGAGCCACGGCGCTGGCCAATCATCTTGTCTTAAGGTCAAAGGACTGAGTGGGAAGTTTTATTAAAATCCTCCCAGATACAAGACCTACAGACTAAACAATAGTGGGAAATAAAAGTGAGGGAAACACCATGTAAGAAGAAGTAGTTAATATTGGCTTTTTAGGTTCATCTCATTGAAAACTTGTGATTTAAAACAAATAAAAACCAAAAATCTGAAGCAGCCATTTGGCCTACTGGTTTATCAGTGTATCAGAGACCTAACTCCTGCCAACTGGCCATTCCTCAAATAAGTTTTTCAAAAACCTCAATAAAGATAAAAATCTGTTTTTCAATCATGAAGGATTCACTTTGTGGTACTAAAAATATGTATTAATAAAACACCAGGAAATAAAAATAAACCCTAACCAAATCAACAGTGATACTACCAAAACCCCAAGAGGATCTCAGGTATCTAAAAGCATCAAGTCACAGCTCATCCCCATCCACAGAACAAAACATAGCCAACTTTTTCCGAGCATAAATATTCGATATTCATCAATGTAATATTCTACATTAACCAAAGAAGTGAGGCAGAGAAAACTCTGGCAGACTCTCTGTGCTAAAAGTCTCCAGTTGTGCTGTGCATACAAGATAAAGCTACAATAAAAATTATTTAGCACAGACTGGCCAGGATGATAGAACTTCAAGGAGCTGGTCTTATAGAATGGTGTAGCCTAGAGAACGAAAAATCTAACATGACCAATCATTTCAGAAACACCAACAGACTCAGTGTGTGGACTTCAATAAAAGGCTGTGTGAACTCACACATGCTAAAAAGCTGCGCGCGTCACACACACAGAAGTTAACGTATCAGTGATGGCCCTGGTTCAGATTAGCCTATCAAAAATTCAGCGGACTGAATAAGGTCACGAGGGAAAACTGCTCAAACGCTAACATAAAGTCACAGGCCACATAAAACATTTCCTGTTCACCTGCTCGATGGATCCATTACCCTTCTGGCAGAACAACTGTCCAATCGTAACTGAAGCAGTGGAGACCAAGTTACTAGGACACAGTAGAGACGCTACAGCACAATGTGGGGTACATCGCATTACATCACCCACCCCCAAATCCTCAGCCTCACTTTCTCCAGCCGCAAAACTAGACTTGGAGATGGACACTGTGGTGCCGCAGGTAAACCCTCTGCTTGGGACACCCACATCCCTCATCAAGTCCCGCCGGCTTCGCTTCTTATCCAGTTCCCTGCTAATCTGCCCGAGAGGCAGTGGATGAGGGTTCAAGTATGTGAGTTCCTGCCACCCACAGAGCCCCTGGCTCCTGGGCTCAGCCTGGTCCAGGCCACCTTTTGTGGCCATCTGCGGAGTGAACCAGTGGATGGCGAATCTATCAATCACCCTGCTTTTCAAATAGACATTAAGAAGAAACAACTAAAATTTGAAAATTATTTAAGAGATCAGTTCCTCCGACTCACATGAAGGTGTCCTCAGCCTGGTCAATTCAGGCCATTCCTTCCCCAGAAATACGGTGTTTTTTTTTTTTTTTTCTTTGCAAAATGTGGTCATCTACCACAATTTAATTTTGAAGAAACATTCCATTTGCTGGCAAGGCAGCCCTTGGGAATTTTTATGTGTGACATTAGAATATTATAGGATGTACAAAACTAGTCCCCTAATACAGAACAAGTAAACTGAGCCCCCAGTCAGACTGCCCAAGTAACCCCCGCCCTGCTCTGGGTCTCTGAATGCGAAGGGACCTCCATAAAACAAAAGATATGTATAAATACAGGGGTAAACAGATTTCAGAGGTAATAGCACAATTATCATAATTAAACAAACTTACCAAACATCCCCTAGAGCTGAGTGTCCAAGAAGCCTTCATTTGCATAGAAATCATCCATATGTTAATTGAGAATCTTTCCTGTCTACTCCTTCCAAGGAGATTCCTGGGCATCTCTCAGGGGCAGCACTGTGCTGCCGGAGCTTTGGAGCTGTCCTGCTTATTTATTTATTTATTTACTTATGAGTGAAGCGTTTCAAACCAGTCTTGAAATGAACCTTATTGAAACTCTTCGTATTTTCAGTCATTCTTACCATATGTAGAGACCTACCCTGCAAAGTCCAAATGAGAGTGCTTAATTGTACTGCAGCATCATTCAGAGAACCGAATTAGATAAGAAAATGCCATTTTCACACCCTTAAAACTAATAAGGACATTGATGGAGTCTTGAGCAAAATCAAGCACTAAATTATAGCATGAATGTAATGAAGGCATTCAAACCCAAGTTAATGATGTGATAAAACATGGCACTATTTTTAGGAGAAAAATACGTAAGGTTTTTCTCTTAATTATCTCACTCTTTGAAAACAAGCATAAAAAAACAACCAATTCTCTACAAAAGGAGGTAGTAGATACAAGGGGATATTTGTGGGAGGAAGGGGAAGGAGGTTGGGGAAGGGAACTAGGAGAGTTGTGGGAGGCCTGGGAAGGGGAGGGGCAAGAGGGAGGGAGGAAAAGGTAGGGGGGACAGGAGTGTGGGAGGGGTGAGAGTAGAGGAAAGCATGGGGACAGGTAGCAGGGAAAACCACAAATGTGCATTTGGCCTAAGCAATAAGGAACCAGTAGGAGGACACTGAGGTTGAGGCAAACTCCTCCCCAGAACACTGAGGGTTGCAGAGTCAACGGCAGGGGCCCTACAGGGCAACTTGATGCCTTCTGTTTGCCTACAGCCCAGAGCAAAGGGCCTCTTCGCACCACTCCAGTTCCCAGCTGGGAGGCTACTGAGACTTCCGTCCTCTGAGGCCACCTCCCCACACTGCCTACTCAGACTTCCGTCCTCTGAGACTACCTCCCCACACTGCCTTCCCTCTGAGTGCGTGGACAGCGTTCCCTCGGTCACCTAAACCAGTATCATCGGTCACAGCCTTGAGAAGCTCTTGTCCCACGTGAAGCCCCACGCACCTGCTTCATATCCCTCTGTGGGTGCGACTGTGGTCATCGCCATCTGTCCAAACCACAAATGTAGATGCAGTAACATTGAGAAGTAACTCGTCTCCTTCAACAGAAAAAAAACCTGAACAACTTTTTCTTTGGGGTCAAGATGGGATTCAAGAAGCCAAATTAATGCACCCATCTGGACTGACGGAAAGCTGGACTGGGCACTCAGATACTCGGAGCAAACAGAACAAGGGAGCCCCACAGTTACCCTGGGTCAGAGCTAGGAGCCAGGACAAAGCCCAGGCCATGGCTCATGCAAGGGGAACCCACACAGTCTGCCAGCCTCACTGAACTGAGTCCCTGGGTCTAAGTTTCAGGCAGACCCACAGCCACGACACCCAGACTTCCACAGACAGTAGAGAGAGGAGCTCTGGGACGAGGGGGAAGAGAGGCATAGAAATGCATCAAGAGAGAAGCAGATTGAAGAACTCCGGAGAATTCTCCCCGGGGCTTTGGCAGAACACTGACCTGGACAGGTTTCTGGGCAATGAGCAAACCTGAGGGAGCAGGTGAGGAATCCCGCAGGCTGACCACGGCACTGACACAATGGTGGTCTCAGCCACAGAAGCCGAGGGCTAGAGCTGCCCAGGACTGGACCCAATGCAGGACAGCAGGCTCATCAGCATGAAGAAATGAGAAGAATGAACACTATCCACGTGGGAATTCTGTAGGTGGAAATATCCCAACTACAATATAAAGCATGCGGTAAGGAGAAATGAATGAGAATCATCAACGTGACCAGGTAAAAATGGAGATCACTCAAAATCAAATAGTAAGAGGAAAGAGTTCAAAAGGAAAATAAGTGGCCGGCGCTGTGGTATAGTCGGCTAAGCCTCAGCCCGCGGCATCGGCATCCCATATGAGTCAAGTTCTAGTAGTACCAGCTGCTCCTCTTCCAATCCAGCTCCCTGCTATGGCCTGGGAAAGCAGTGGACGATGGCCCAAGTACCTTGGCTCATGCACCCACGTGGGGAATCCAGAAGAAGCTCCTGGCTAAAATCTTTAAAAAAAGAAAAAAAAAGAGAGGGCAGAATATTGGTGAACCCTTCTAAAATGTAAAACAACTGAACACACAGAGAACACGAGTGTAAGAGAGAAAGGAGACAGACCAAAAAAAGAAAAACCAAAGAAATTATCTAATATTCTGCGAGGTGACACAAACTCTAAGCCACAGATCCAGATATATAATGAAACTACAACAGAATAAACAAACAAAAAAATCTCCTCCAAGCTGTTCATAAGGAGAAATTTTTTGAAGCAATAATAAATGTCTATATTGAAAGAAAACCTAAAACCACAGCGGCAGCTGCCCTCAGACTATGCAAACCAGATGGTTGTTAACAGTGATATATGATATATGAATAAAGTGGGGGGGATCCGGACATTATAGCGCATCCAGCAAAACAGTCTTCAAATCTACAGGCCAGCAGCTCTTGTCCAGCCACGGGGTAAAGAGGCCACTCCTGACGTCAGCATCCCGCATCTGAGACCTGAGTTTGATGCCTGGCTCCAGCTGCTGCCAGTGCAGGAGGGAGGCAGCAGACAGCTCACGTAATTCGGCTCCTACAGCCAATGTGGGAGACCCAGACCGAGCTCCTCCCAGCTTCATCCCCACCCCCGGGCCACTGTGGGAGTTTGAGAAGTGAGCCGGTAGGTGGGGACTGTCTGACTTTGTTTTTGTCTCTGTCTCTTTGCTTTTCAATGAAAAAAAAAAATTAAAAGTAAGGCAAAATAAACCTATTTTCAGACAAGCTAAATTTCATAGTTGTCTTTCTCAGGGCCTGGAATTTAAACAACGTTAGATGTTGAAGAAGTCCTTCGGTCAGAAGGGAAAGGACACGGGTGGGAATCTGGGTGTTCAGTGGGAGAGAAGAGCAACAGACATGACACGGCAGAGCAAGCACAGAAATCAACTAACTTCAACATATTTCAAGTGATTCAAGTCACAGACAGCACGACTTGGAATAGATCCGAATTCTACTAGAAATCTAAAGAAATAGATAGCAAGAAATTCCCCCAAATCAGAAATTAAAAAGCCGACTTAACAAAAGAAGTCCAGTCCAGTGAAGTTGTCACAAGGCTAACTATGGAATTCCTCAAACTAAATGGAGGAATAAAGTGAATCTGCAAGTATTTACAGGGCGTATGCAGACACACGACTACTCCCAGAATTAAATGCTTCTGGCAGAGAAGGTGAGACATCGCAGATAAATCACCTGTTTCCACTAGAAACTAGCAGAAGAGCACATTAACCCTTCCTTACGAACAACAGCAGGAAGAAAATAATACATTAACAGCAGAAATCAATGCTTCTAAACTGAGAAAATTAATGAAACTAAGAGAAGATCGATAAGATTGATAACCTGCTAACCAGACCGAACAGGCAAAGTAAGAGAAGATGAGCTGTCCCTATCAGGAATAGAACAGGGCATCACCGCAGATTCCACACACGTGGGAGAACAAGGAAGTACTTCTTAAAATCTGCACAAGTATACACTTTTCTATAAAGTGAGTAGGCAGATCCGACATCCTACCTCTTCAGGGTGTAGACAACATCTCTGTCAACACAGAGATTGTGAAGTGGCTACGATGAGCTATTGCACATATTCAGGACCTCCCTCATCTTTTCTTTGTACAATGAACATCCTTAAGATCTAAGCTACTTTCAAGTGTGGTCTCTACGCTGTGCCATGGCGCCCTTGAACGCATTCACGTCTTAGTCAAATTCTGTGCCCTTTAATCAGCATCTCTGCCCAATGCCCTCACTCCCAGTCTCTGTGAGCCACGGCTTTACTGATTCCACAGCCTCAGCCTTTGCCACGCTCCCATCAGGGGAACCCCACAGTACCTGCCATTCTGCTCAGTCTGCACTGGGCGTGTTTTAACTCATGTCCTCAGGTCCACCGATCTTCCTGCAATGGTCATTGTGTCCTTCATTATCCGACTGCTTATTTCTGTCACACTTCCATGCATTCCTAGGTCAGTGACCTGTCTCAGCCAGTGTGAGCGGAGCTGCAATGAACATGGGAGTGCATGTGGTTTCTGACATGCTGATTTCATGTCCTGTGAGTCCTCAGCACAACTCCTGGGTCATCGGTAGTTCTATTTTGAATATTTTGAGGACACCATGCTGTTTCCTGTCATGGCTGTACTCATTTGTACGCCCACTCACAGTATACAAGAGCTCCATTTTTCTCAACTTCATTTACTATTATCTGTTTTTTAATAGCCATTCGAACACATGAGATAATGTCTCAGTGTGTTTTTAACTTACGTTTTCCTGATAACTAATGATGCTGAACAAGCTTTTTTCTTTCTGATAACTCTCGGTCATTTGTACACCTTAGATAACTTGAACACAACTTGAATAATCTTATGACCATAAAAGAAATAAATCCTTAATTAAAAATCTTCCCTCAAAGAAAACTACAAGCCCTACCAAACATGGTCAAAGGAGCAGCGCTGACTCAACAACAACTCATACAACAAAGAAGCTGCAAACCCTCCCCAACTTAATCCACAAAGCCAGTACCACACCGATAATAAAATCAGAAATTACCATAAAAGATAACTACAAATATCCATCACTAATGTAGAAGCAAAATCTTTAAAACTTTTTTATCATGCTGGATTAAGCAATATTAACAGGATAGTACGGCAAGTGGAATTTGTCTTAAGAAGTACTATGTGGGGGCCGGCGCTGCGATGTAGCAGGTAGGGTCACCACCTACAGTGCTGGCATCCCATATGGGCACTGGTTCGAGTCCTGGCTGCTCCACTTCCAATCCAGCTCTTTGCTGTGGCCTGGGAAAGCAGTAGAAGATGGCCTAAGTGCTTGGGCCCCTGCATCCGCGTGTGAGACCTGGAAGAAGCTCCTGGCTCCTGGCTGCAGATTGGCACAGCTCCGGCCATTGCAGTCAATTGGGGAATGAACCAGCAGATAGAAGACCTCTGTCTGTCTGTCTGTCTGTCTTTCTTTCTCTCTTTCTTTCTCTCTCTCTCTCTCTTTCTCTCTTTCTCTCTCTCCTTTTCTCTTATGTGTAACTCTGACTTTCAAGTAAAATAAATCAATCTTTAAAAAAGAAGTAATACGTGGATATCAATCAATGTAATTTACCACATAATAGAGAGGGAGGGAGAGAGATAAAGAGGGAAGAGAAAACCAATAAAAATCCAATACATGACCATCTCAATGCACACAGACAAAAGCTTTGGGAAAAAATTTAGTACAGAATAGTGGCTAAAAATCGAACTTCCTGAAAACTAGGAATTCAGGTGAATTTTCCTGACTAATAAGCATTTATCAGAATGGAGTCCCAGTGAGGGCTGGCACAGTCCATCTTTTCCGCAGAAGACTGTCATGAAGCATGACTGATGACGTCACACCTATCCAACAGTGTGGTACCAGGTATCACACCCAGTGAGCCGGACAAGAAAGCAAACGTCCAGGGCATTCACTTCACAGAGGAGGAGACAGGAAGTCCTCATTCACAGACCACCTATTCAGAAAATCTTAGAGAATCTACAAAAAGGCTTACAACTAACAAGTTGATTTATAGGATACAACACCAATGTACAAAATATGAAAAGTGCATACACATGTTAGCAACAAAGACATGAAAGCTAAATTATCATATAGCAGAAAAGCATAAAATTGCTGAATGTTAGGGATATGTATTTGTGTAACTAAAGAAATCCAATATATTGTGCTTAATACTGTTAAAGTATGAATTTATATAAAGTTCATTTATCAACTTATTGGAATCCTAATCAAAATCCCCAAAGGATTTTTTGAGAAAGTGATAAACACTCTAAACACAGAAAATACAGGAAAGCAAAGAATTTATAATGGAAAACAATGTTGGGGGAAAAAATAGAAACAGAGGGACTCACGCCATCTGACTTCAAAGCTTGTCTTAAAGCCACAGTTATCAGAACAGTGTGGAAATCACATAAAGATGTAACGCATCAAACGAACAGAACAGACGGGTAATACAGAAATAAATCCACTATAAGTGACAAATTGATTTTTGAAGAAGGCAGGCAGTTAATAGAGGAGTGATGACATTTTCAACAAGTATTATCCAAAGAAATGAAAATCAATACAGGAAAAACGCCATCATTTCCTGTACAACAAATTAAAAATGTAAGTGAAATGGATTATAGCTTAAGTAAAAGAATGTGAACTATAACTGTTCTAGATGCTAACAGTGAGGAAAATTTAACTAGGTAAGGAAGCAGAGAGCCTACATTTTAAAGACCAACGCAGGAATTAAGGGGTTTTTCAAAAAAATTCTGAGTACTTTTGAGACAGCACAAGTAAAATGAAATTTAGAGCTCTATTCCAGCAGAATATGTCGTAAAATATACACCTAATAAGGGACACATACTGATTATAAATCTTTCTTACAATTCAAAGATAGTAAAATAGTCAAATAAATGAGTTAAGGATCTGAGCGGACACTTTACCACACACACAAAATGATAAAGTACATGAAAACATTAATATTATGCTTTAGAGAAACACAAATTAAAACTGTCCTTATATCAGTAACGCCAACTAGAATGACCAAAATTAAGAGAAGCAAAATACCAAGTGTCACTGAGGATATGGTTCAACTGAAATTCATACATGATGCTGTGTAGAATACAAAATGATGTAGCCACTGTGCGAGGCAACTAAGCTGTTCTTATGAAATCAGACATATACTAACCATGAAACCAACAACACACTTCTAGGATTTGCCCAAGAGAAATTAAGACATATGCCCACTGAAACACTTGTTCACAAGTGTTAATAACAGCTTCATTCTTAACAACCCCAAACTGGAAAAGAACGCAAACATCCATTAGCCAGGGAATACACAAACTGTGAGGCCTTGAAAGGCAGCAATACCACTCAGCAGCAAGAGCAGTCTTCTCACACTTGGAAGGAAATGCACACACACCAAAGGCAACAAACTGTACGCAAGCAACGAAATACAGATCTACTTCTTGACTTCCCTTATTGCTACTGCAACAATTCAAAGTTGGCCAGTGGTTGCCAGAATCCTTGTGTGTGTGTGTGAGTGTGTGTGTGAAGGGAAGATTCTAACAGATGATTTTTGAGAGTCCCAGAAGAAGTATTTATCTCACCTGTGGTGGTGGTTTAAAACTACCCCCGCTCTACAACTGTACACTCCAATTATTCCTAATTCTTCCTACGGGCTCACATTTGGCCATTCTCAGAACCCAGTGTGTTACCTGCTGTAGGCAACGTGCTTCCGGTGAAGCAGTGAACAGGGAGGGTGGACAGGCAGTTCCACCTGCGTGTTGTCTCTTAGGTCATAATGTCCACAGACTAAAAGCTGAGACCATCAAGCCCCAAGGCCAACATCCTTGACTCATAAAACCTCTGCATCCAAACAGCCAGGCTTAGATCTCTGCAACTTCCAAACTCCACAGCTGGACCCCTAAAGGTAAATGCAAGAGCAAAAAACCATTTCTGAAGCATGAGCTGGTTCTTCCCCCAAAAATAGCACACTTCATTTAATTATTAAATCCCTGTAGTTCTGTGAATGGGGCTGAAGCATCATCTTCTAGCACAAATGAAAACTGAGAACTGTAAAATGTATTTATATAACAGTTGAGTAGACTAGGTTTGTTTAGCTTCTTTTAAAAAAGATTAATTTGAGGCCAGTGCTGCGGCTTAATAGGCTAATCCTCCACGTGCAGTGCCGGCACACCAGGTTCTAGTCCCAGTTGGGGCGCCGCGGGATTCTGTCCCGGTTGCCCCTCTTCCAGGCCAGCTCTCTGCTGTGGCCAGGGAGTGCAGTGGAGGATGGCCCAAGTGCTTGGGCCCTGCACCCACATGCATGGGAGACCAGGAGAAACACCTGGCTCCTGGCTTCAGATCAGCGCCGTGTGCTGGCCGCAGCGCGCCGGCCATGGCGGCCATCGGAGGGTGAACCAATGGCAAAGGAAGACCTTTCTCTCTGTCTGTCTCTCTCACTGTCCACTCTGCCTGTCAAAAAAAAAAAAAATCATTTGAGAGGTGGAGGTACAGAGGGAGAGACAGGGACAAAGGTCGTCCATCTGCTGGGTCACTCTCCTAATAGCTGCAATAGCTGGAGCTGGGCCATTCCAAAGCTGGGAGCCTCCTCCAGGTCTCCCACATGGGTGCAGTGGCCCAAGCACGTGGGCCATCCTATGCTGCTTTCCCAGGCACATTAGCAGAGAGCTGTAACTTGAGTGGAGCCGCCAGGAAATGAACCAACACCTGTGTGTGATGCCAGCACTGCAGGTGGTGACTAAACCTACTGTGCCACAGTGCTGGCCGTGATTTATTTAGCTTCTAAACTCTTAACACTGTGCAAGGATATAGAGGTTGTAGTTTGATTTCGCAGGTCAGACTCTTGTTTTTATTACCCATTGGAATCTTCCTGAAAATAGTTTTCTAGCTGAAATGAATAGGAACTACTGCACAATACAAGAAAGGCATTGTGCTTTAAAACTGTATTAGATGGTTGACTTCATTTAGATTTCTATAAAAAATACTGAAAGGGATGTTTTGAATCTCAAGCGTGGGGAGGATGGAGAAAGGGGAGGTTTCAAATACCTAACTCCTTTGGACACCTCATAGCCATGTGGGATCACATCCTTTGCTAACACCAGGTGTTTAGGTAAAAAGACAAAGGTGCCCAGGATGTGACAGTGAGCACACATTCAGAGCTAGCTGGGCTATCTTCAGACTCAGAGCCATCAATGAGGGAGGGACGGAACCACAGAGTGGGGGTTCCCAAGGCCTCCTGACTGGACTGCCCTCCACAGCCACCTGTCCACCTGTGTAACTCTGCTGTCCTCACTGAGCTGGGCTTTCTATACGTCTCTTCTTGGATATGAACTACTTCAGGACAACCAAGACTCCCCACGAGCTGATCAGTCTCACAGGAAGGTGGTGATCACATACAAAAGCAATGTGAGTATTTTTTGTAAAATTATAGCACAATTGTAAGGAAGCTTTTGATTCTGTACACCTCATGCTGGAAAATCCCATTTTTCAACTGCAAATGCTTTTTGCATTTTGCCTCTAATGAAAGCAGTGTAATCTCCAATCTGTAAGCCTACGTGCATCTCTGCTTACTTCAAAAGGGTTGTGGAAAATTTGAATTAAACATGATTCGCGTGCAAAAAAGCTGTAAAAGCTACACACATTTTTCATAATTTTAGGGTTTTTTTAAATTGATATTTTATTTGACAGATAGAGTTAAATAGTGAGAGAGAGAGAGACAGACAGACAGAAAGGTCTTCCTTCCATTGGTTCACCCCCCAAATGGCCACTACGGCCGGCACGCTGTGCCGATCCGAAGCAAGAAGCCAGGTGCTTCTCCTGGTCTCCCATGTGGGTGCAGGGCCCAAGCACTTGGGCCATCCTCCACTGCACTCCCGGGCCACAGCAGAGAGCTGGACTGGAAGAGGGGCAACCAGGACTAGAACCCAGAGTGCTGGCACCACAGGCAGAGGATTAGCCAAGTGAGCTGCGGCGCTGGCCCATCAAGTTTTAGAATACATCTTATACACATGGACTTCAGAAGGTTTTTGCACCAAACTAATCTTTTAGTGTTGCCTGTCATGAACTTTTTGAAGTTCTTTTTAATTAGTATTTAAAACTAGAAATGCAAATCTTGGGACAAGATTATATTCCAATACTCTTCGCTATACTCCTATATATCTCAGAGAATGTCAACACTTTATCCAGTTACAACAAGTAGAGTTCTGATTGTAAGATATCCCCAAATTTCATTCTACTGGAATGTGATTGGGGAGAAAGCAGTGTGGGGAACTCAGGAAGCAACTCTACGTTAAATCCCTGCATCACAACCAGTCATCGGGGCGTTTCTCACGGTGTTCACCTTCACAAGGGCTGGCTGTTGACACTGCAGAGCAATATTCAATACAAACACGTTTGTCAAAACCACCCCAAGAGTCAACTGCAATGGGAATGGGCTTTTGTGGCTTCCCTCCGCAATCTGTAGATTGTCATGGTTTTATTTGTGAGCTTTCCAGCTGTCCTTGAAAATAGGGGGGATGCATCCTCCAGCACTTCCGAGACTATAGTCCATCATCTACCGGCCTGCTCATTGCTATTAAAAGGATGGCATGAAGGGGGGATTGATTCTGAGCGACTACAGTGGGTCGAACGTGGATTTTGAAGTGAAGCACACACTTCCATTTTGTTTCTATGCTTACTTTTGTTTCTATGATTTTGGCAATCATTCAAGTCTTCCCAATCTTGGTTCCTTTATAAAGTGTTGATGAGATACACATCACACAGTCTGGTGTTTGCAAGGCTTCTGCTAAGAACGGATTTGGATGCTCACTGCTTTCTTCCTCCTTCATTAAAAGGTAGTCCTGTGCCTCACAGACAGTCCCAGGAGTCAAGTCCGTGGCAAGGACGAGATATGAGACTGTGCAGGGTGACAAGCCCTTCCACTATATCCATCCGTCTCTTACCAGGATCTTCCTCAAAGTCCCACCCATCCCTACCCAAGCTCCACTCATCACCAACCCACCACCAAGAGCGGTTTTTCAAGTCCCACGCATGTAGCTATGTTACATCCTGTTGTCATTCACCTTCATGGCCTGCATCAGTTTCTTCTGATGCCGAACAAGGTTGGCGATCTTCCCTTTCGGTTCTTTGGCTAAGCCTTGGTCCTCAGCCCTCCACGGCAGGTCCTGGTTACAGGCAAGCAGTCTGTGTGTGATTCTCTCCCACTTTCTCCACCACATACCCTGTACTGTCACTCTGTTAGCTCTCAGATCCCTCACTAAGAGCCGTGACCCTATCCTTCCAAACCCTTTCTCAGGGTGAAACCCTACACTTGTTCTGTGGGGTTATATTAGTAAGAAATGCCTCCCTCATAAGATATCCCTCATGCTATCTGAGAATAGCAGCATAGGAATTGAGTCAACGTGTTCCAGGTTGAAGCTCGGACCACAGTAGATTCTCAATCAAGGAGCCGAGTGTGAGAACAACGAATGGGCATGGCTGAGATGTTTCATGTCAGGACCCCTATGTTTGCTGAATCTCCAGGACAATACACTAACTTCGTTCCCTGAGAACGCAAACTCCTTTAGCTCACTGAAGAGGAGCATCTTAAGGTAACATCATAAAAACAGAATTCAGAGAAATTAAAGTGAATTAATTAAAAGAAATTTAATTTAAATTTGGTTTAATTAAAGAAATTAAAGTGGTTACCAGGAGCTGGTTAGGAGTTTAAAATTTAAGAGATAAATGGAATAACCTGATGACTTCAGTGAATAACAATTTTGACATTCCATAATGCATATATGTATTTAAAATATCATTTTGTACACAATAAATATATGCAACTTTTGTCAACTAAAAATACATTTTTAAAACTGAAGACAAATATACCTCGCCTTTTTCAACTGATAAACCTAATATAACTTTAACATAGCCCATCACATCCTTTTTCATTTCCTTGAAATATGACAACCTGAACTTCCTTGGGTCAGCAAAACCAACAGGCAAACATCCATTTAGCATTAATTTCCTTCAGCTATTATGTGAATACTTCAGACACTAATTTTCATGGCCATGCACACCCCCTCATTATAGACAAAATTACTGCAGACAAAAATCAAAGACTAAATGGCCAGTTCTCTAGTGTCAGTTGCCAATACAACTCAGAAACCTGAGCACCAACATAGAAAAAAAGCTGTGGCTCAGTTCAGCCTCAATTAGAAGGGAAAGAATACTGTCTGAAGTCTGTTGCTTGGCTTCTCTCTCATGCTTAACAGTGTAAGTCAGAGATAATTAAAAATAAAGGAAATCAAACTTTGGTGGAGGACTTTAATATTCCAAGGCCTCAATGCACGCATTCAGCTGTGTTCCACTTGATTGCAATGTTGAACTCAGAGGAAGGATCGATAATTATGTGCATGTCAAAGGAAGTCATTTCACAAAATCTTCACATTGTTGAGCCTTTTGAAGAACTACAACTAAACAGAAGTATAACTAAGCACCAACACAGTGACACTGAAGACACACTGGAAGGTGAGCCCTCAAGGCTATGGAAAAGCTCCAATTTTGAGAGCAAAACCTTCCTGGGAGTTTTTCCTAGCCCTGAAGCTTTATGGCCACATTGACCCAATCGCCCCTGCCAGGATCTTCATGCGAACAGGCTGACCTTTAGTGCCTGGTGCCACGTGCATCAACAGACGGGACCTAGGCAGAGTGCCGCCCAGATCCATCCCTACTTCTGTTCCAAGGGTTCATCTACTTAAACGCTGCTTTCCAGTTCCCAGAAGTCAGGACCCTATCCTTCCTTCACTCCTGAATCTTGTGTCCTGCTATCCACTTACCCTAAGTCTCCATACCCCACAGCACTAATTATGGCCCAAATGTAACCCTCGCAGCCAATGCCCGATCCCAACACTTTTATTTCAGACCTTCTTTTCCAGAAACTCAAGTGTAATCCATCAGAAAAGGTTTTGCTCCTAGGCTCTCTCTCGAACTGTCTCACTGCGTCCAGATCCATTCACCCGTCTCACCTCACCTGCAGAATAAACCTCTCAGCTGGTCCCTCACGTTAACTGTCAAGGCCTCTCCAAAGGGGGTGCCTTGTGTAAAAAGCCTGCAATTGAAAAAAAGAAAACCTAACAAGGCCTGGAAGATGGCTGTACTAGATGGAAGAGACTCCACCGGGAAGAATGAGAGACAACATCCGATTTAACTCCACACCCCTGACTGTACCACCATGGAGTTTGTGCCACCTGTCCTGGCTGATGAACATGTGACTTAGGAAATTCAACCTCATGACCTTGCCTGGTCAGGAGTAAGATCTGGCTGAGGTCACGAGCACACCACCTTTTCCCACATGAACGCACAGCACTGGTGGTCGCCAGGGCACTGGAGAGAAGCTTTGAGACCTCACCTTTCCCTACTGGATGCCTTTCTGTAGAAACAGCAACAAACAGGAGAAACAGAGCCCAGGGCCAGGTACTGAAAGGTGAATATCCACAGAATGGAAATGACAGCCTTCAAGTGATTTCACCTCAAAGCTTCTGCCAGGAGACAGCCCTCTTTAACAGTTATTTGTAAATCGAGCTGAGAAAAACATCAATGAAAGTTCAGTAAAGAGACAAGAAAAAAAATAAAACAATCAGGATCTGTGTGTGTGACCTTCGCCAGACAAAGTCCATGCATTTTAGGGACATTAAAATTCAAACTGCTCAGCCTCAGTTCCTGCAACTTAAACTCTAAGAAACACAGATAACAGATCAGCACAACTCGGCATTTCCAAAGCAGCAAAGAGCTCTAGCGAAGATTCTAGAAAAGATAATTAAAACGATCTATGGTTAGCCTGTGAAAATGAAAATGTGATCACTAGGAGTTATAAGGATTAGCTAATAAAATGTCAAAGACCTCCTTCTTTATCCCCAAATCATCATCCAAACAGTAGACTGGGGGATGCGGAACACAAACGATTTTTAAAATGATTATCTTGTAAGAATATACTCTGATAAAGAAATGACAAAGATATTTCAACAACATTTCATCCTATCATCAGCAAGCAGTCACCACCAGCATTGTCATGCAGTTCACATTTGTATGCATTGCCAACACCAAACCATTTCTGATTATCATTAAGGCTACCGGCAAGGATTTGACTTCTCTCCCTAAACAAGCACAAATTTATTGGCCACAAAGGAGGCGTAGGAGAGGCGAGGTTGATTCATGATTCAGTTAAATTAATCACCACCTTCCCTTCCGATCCACAGGAGGTGGCTGAGGGTTGGTTCCAGGTCCCCGGCAGGTACCGCGATTCTTAGATGCTCAAATCCCTCATATTAACGGGCCTCGTATTTGAATGAACCTATGGACATCCTCCACATACTTTAAATCATCTCCAGTCTCCAGGTTACTTGGTACAATATATGCACTATGTAAATATTTTATTGTATCATTTAGGGGATAATGACAAGAAGACAGAATGCATACTTGTTCAGTACAAAGGCTTTTTTTTTCACTATTTTTTATCTATGGCTGGTTGAATCCATGGACATAAAACCAGTGGATACAAAAGGCCACCTGTATGTGTTAAACAGATTCATAGATCAGTCCCAGTCTGGGAAAGAACACAGGTAAAGATTCCTGACACAACTGTGGTCAATATTTTCATCAGTGACAATGATACGAATTGGTGGCATATCATATTTTCAGACAATGTGGAACTACATGTTATTTCTGAAATAAGATGGGATATTTTTCTCAAGTATATTGACTGCTTTGAAAGAACTACTGAAGTCAAGGAGATGACGATTCATCAACATATAAAGGGCAAAGGCTTATACTGGGATTCCAGAAAATAACCACGGCAGAACTGACATGAAGAATGCAGCCCAACACTCACCTGTTTAGAATAATGGAGGCACCAGGGCAGGGCTGGTGCCGGGACCACGCTGCTGCGTTATCTGGGGACGTTCAGCCCAAAGCAGAAGCCCAGGCAGGGCAGAGAAAAGCCACGCAAAGTCCTGGGATTCCCAAGTTTCATCCTAACGCTGTCTGGTACTTGCCAAGAAGGGCTAACAGACGCTGGGTTATGCCACCCATGCTTTCTCCTGAAATGAGAGCTTGCAAAGTTCATCTGAGGCTCTTTTTCTCCCCCATCTTTGGTTCCACGAGGGCATTGAACTCCCGAAGTCGGAAATGAAGGAGTCCGGACTGAGCGTCCAAGGACAAAGGCAGCTTGGTTTTAAGCCCCCTGCCCAGGGACAGAAGGGTGAAGGTCTTCACTGGGCCCCACCTTTTTCAGGACAAAGCTGAGCACTGTCAGGGTCAGCAGGGTCGTGAAACTTCCAAGTCCCAGACTCAGGAACCAGAACTAGAGCCAGAGTGACAACTTCATGATTGGTCAGGGATTGGACGCAGTCCTCGGAGGAGCATTTCCCCGAGAGTGGAGCAAAATTAGCTGCCTGCTGAACACTGATCTAGTTGCACCTGCATCGAGCTCCATATGATCTTGGAAGCTGGAAGAAAAATTATCTGAGAGGGGAAAACTTGCAAACTCATCTTCTAATGATAACAATTTCTAAGATGAAAAATACCCTGTAAGTAAGTAAAAGATTAAACATTGTGGAACACAGCACTGGTCAAACTGAAGACACACCTGTAAAAACCATACCAGTAAATGGAAAAAAAAAAAAAAAAACTGACAGGGATGGGGATGGAAGGTGGGGGTGGGGGATGGGGCCAGGAAATATGCGAACAAAAAACCGGTGAATTTCTGGTATCTGGGAACCCTACTGTAGATCTTTACTCAAAAGGAATCAAAGTATTTGTTCACAGGAGAGTCATACATAAATACTCACAGCAGTATTTCATAGAAATTTGGAAGCAACACAAGCATCCACCAAGAGGTAAATGGTCCCCCTACACATCAGCACTTCAAACATTGATGATGGGGACACTTCCTCTGCACTGACTTTC